CTGCTGAACAGGGATCAGTTACAAGGGTTGGTATTTGTACAGAGCAATTGACAGCAATTAAATATTTGTCTAAAACTTAGGAAGTTGTAACTTAGAGAGTTGTAACTTGCAGAGTTAGACAAATTCTACACTTCATACGCTATAGCAAGGTGGAATGCATGTTCAGGTTTGGAGCTATTCTGCACCAAACAGAAGAGTCGGGAGAAGTCGAGAAACAAGAGAAGGATCCTGAACGAATCTGAACTCTGTTAGGAACTCAGTTAATGTGATGATGTGTCTTAAAAGATTGAACTGTATAAGCAGCAATCAGTTACGTGGCCAACATAAAGTTGCCTCTTTTGACCTCATTTTAGCTGTTTAGAACCTGCCGCTGTAGGGTTGGGTTTGTTTGTTTTTTTTTTTTTTTATCTTGGAACCAGGGAATTCTTACTGCAGAATGTGTATTAATCCTGGGGAGCCTATGGTGGAAGAATGTCAATGAGGGGGAAACAGCATCTGAAAGATTGTGAATAAATACTCCTCTCTTCACTGGAGCGTTAGGCCCTGCTGAATGCCAAAGGGGAGACCTTGCAAAATAAAATCCATCGCCTTCCGTGCACCGGCAAGAGAGGGATCATTCTTAAAGTGTTGTGGTTTTTTTTTAAATTCTTTTAAACAATGGTTGGGGTTTGTGACAGATGAAGCAAGAAAGAGAAATGTCCTTTGGTTCAGGGGAGATAAGTGAGCGTGGGTTTCATGTATTTCTAGTGGGGTTTTAGAGAATAAATGTTAAGCATTGGTTTATAAGCTTTTGCTGTATCAATGGAATGGAAAAGGGATGCAGTGCTGAAGTGTTCTGTTGTGGAACTTTAAGGAAACTTTAACCCAACTCCTAAGGCACACCAATTTATGCCAGCATGAATTTGCTGCAGACTTCACTTCCTGAATGTTTTATAGCATACACTTTAATTTCAGCTAACTGTTGTTAGGACTGATTGGTTCTCCTATTAATCCTGACCAAACTCTACTTTTTCATCTTAAGATAAGTGTTTGATACACGATTAGCTAGGATATGGCTAACGACGTTATAAAACCTGTTTCCCTTTTTTTGTTGTAGGGATGGGAAAAATCACAGCTGGTACTAGAATGTGCTGTCAGGTTTTGATTTTCTACCCGTAACTTCATTATTTCAAATTAATTTTTAATTTCTCCCTTTTAAATAGTGAAACGTAATTAATAATTTCAAGCCTGTTTATTTATGACATTATTGTGATTTTTTTTTTTTATTACAGTACTAAAGACTAATGAAAAAGGATCCTTTTATTAGGTGGAGTAAACCTTGCATTTATTTTTTTTTTCCTGCAATGTATGAAGTATTGTACCAGAGTATTAAATGAAATGTAATATTTTATTGAAAAAATCTCTGTCCTTTAAAAGGAATACATTTAGGATGTCATCAATTTGATGTGAACCATGTAAATGTTGATACTGCGCTGTTTATTATACATCTAGTGTTTCAAAAGACTCTCACTCACTGCCTTTTGCCCACGTACATTCTGTAGACCATTTACAATTGTCAAAATGTGACATTAAAATAATAGTTCCTGTATAGAAATAGTGGTGGTTGTCCATTGTTTTCTGTGCTGGTATTTATGGGTCTTAGTTCAGCTGCTCCGCTAGCTGCGTTGTGATTTTTATTGCTGCGAAGCTGTATTATCAGAAATAAAAGCATATCTGTAAACATCAGAACTTCAAAAAAAAAAAAAAAAAAAGGAAAAAAAAAAAGAAGAAATAATAATAATAAAAAAAAAAAGAAATAAAAATCCTTTTCTTAAGATGGTTTGTCAGTTACTCTGTTCTCCAGCTTGCCGTCAGAAGAGGTGGTGGTGTCTGGGCACTAATCTTCTGAGTCTGGATCACAGCGCTCGAGCTGTCCTGCTGAGCCCCCCTGGGATGCGAGGCTGTTGAAGAGAGCAGCTGTCCTTCCTGAGAGCCAGCCGAGCAAAACGCCCGTTGCGTACGATGTCTGCGAGCTTCTGTCTCTGCGTTGCCGCCGTCCGCTGCCCCGGGGGAGGTTCTGCGTGCAGTCCAGGTCCTGCCTCTCCAGGTAGCCCTCAGCTTGTCCTGGGAGCCCTGCACTTGTGCTCCTGCGATGGTCAGGAGTCCTTGCTGCCTCCCGTTCCCCTTTCCTGCTCCCTCTCCAGATAATTCACCCTCCTTGTTTCGTTCCTGATTTATTGAACTTGGTGTGGAACTTCCTCCAAATTCTCTTTTAATTGGGGAAAGGAAGGACAATCCTGTTCTGTCTGCAGCGTGCTTCGCTGCAGCCAGCCTTTCTGGGGTGCGGGAGAAAGAAGCTGTTGCTCGCTCCTGCTGCTCCTTCCAGATCTTTCATCTCTTACACCATTTGTCTTTGGGGCTCTGCTGTTTCCCGAGATCCTTTTATGCCAGCACCATGCAGTGACTCAAAAGCGGGACTGGTGCTTTGAAAAGGAGCTGTATTGCACCCCGGGCTCCCTTCTGCCAGCTGCTCCTACCATACTTCAAAAGCTATCAAAATTTCTGACTCTCTGTAGGCCTTGCAGCTAGACGCTTCCAAAAAATGTAATGTCGTACCTGCTCTCTGGGCTGGAGCAGAAGAGTGTACGTGTGCCCCCAGTATCGCCTATCAGTCTGGTTTTTTGGTCCACTAATACTGCTTTTCCTTCTTTTATAGCTGTTGGGAATGTTCCCACTAGGCATGTCACCGCTGGTACTGCTTCCCAGGGACTGGACAGCCTGAGTGGCTTCACTAACGTCTGGAGGGGTTTTAATTCCAGGAAAGGTTTCACGAAGCCTTCGCTCTCCCCTTGATCCCACTTTCGGGGTCCAGGGGTAAAAATGCAGCTGAGCCATCCTGCAGCTTTTTAGGAAATAAACGCTGGGTGTTGTAACAGCACGAGCAGCGCTGGTGGAGCGCAGAGCAAATACCAGCTGAATTTGTAGTAAAACAAGCTTAATCTCAAGGCGATGGCAAAGCGTAGAGATCATCTGCTGAAATGCCAAGGAGGAGGCAAAGCCCTGTGGTTGGGGCCTCTGCAGATTCACGTACGAGCTGAATTCAAATGAGGGCAGGAGCTATGTAGAGCAGCTTGGTTTTAAGGCGATTATCCTGCAGAGTAAGGTTTTGGGTGGGTATTTTTTTTTTTTTATGAATGCATCTACTGGTTTGCATCCATCTCTGTGTGTAGCAATGGTTTTATCTCTGTTTTGGGACTGGGGAGGGAAGGGGACTGGTCCAATCTGAGAACTTTGACAAAGATGGAAAGCGTTAGAGATGGGGTGATGCTTCCAGCCCCTCCTGCTTTCCCCCAGGCTGCTGTCTTGCGGTTTTGCTTGCCCCATGTAGGTAAGTCGGAATAGAATTTATTCTCCCAGTGCTCTCGGTGTTTATACAAAGCTGGGTGATTGGATATTGCTTGAGGACAAGTTTGTCATCTCTATAAAACCTCAAAACTTTGGCTGACCCTTCTGCAGTACGAACCCCAATGCAGTCAGGGTTCAGGGTGAGTTCTGAAGCGTGCGGCCTCCTGGGCGCTGGGCCGCTCTTCTGACCCCGGGACAAGGAGAGCTGGATGGGTCAGGAAAAACGAAGGTGTCCATCAGCCAACCTCATTGCCATTCCCAAAGCAAATGCTTTTCCAGCTCATCTCCCTTGGCAGGGCTGGTGCAGGTTGGGTTCCCTTGGCAGGGTAGTGATTCTTGCTTCGCGTCCCCGTGTATCGCACCCGCTTGTGCTTTTTAAGCCTTCAGCTGCTCGTCCCTTCGCTTGGGATCACCCTTGAGCCCATCGCACGGCGCTTGTGCTTCAAGTCTCTGAAGTCTTCCTTTGCCTTGAGCTGGGGCCTGAGGCTCAAACATGTATCTATTTTTTTTTCATTTATTTTTTTTCCCCTTTTTCTTTTGTAATGGTTGGGAAAGATTCCTTCAAAGATATTCTTAATAGCAAATTCAAAGGACATCCTTAATATGTGGATTGCTTCTTGGTTTCCCCATGGAGTAAGACTCAGCTCAACAATTCGTAGATCAAAACGTTTGATTTGGCGGGGGGGGAACCCAACCCAGCTCTCCCAATGAATGCCTCCATGTGTCGGGGGGGCTGCTCCTAATGGAGGAAAG